TGTTTGGGGGGGGGGGAGGGGGGATATATATTACGTTGCATGTAAGAATATTTTTAAATGCACATCAGCCATGTATGCGGTAAACGAGAGTGCAGTATTGTTGAAATTCAGAGCAGATGTAGATGGCCGTCTTCCAGGCTGTTGGCAGCAAGGACATCTGAACTGTCTTTTATGGTGTTGCAGGAAATTATTTCCCCATCACATCAATGGCGTACATCCAGGACTCGTCTCGACGTCTGTCTCTGCTGGTGCACCATGCGCAGGGAGCTGCTGCGTGGCAGCCCGGCTGGTTGGAGGTGATGCTGGACCGCCGCACGCTGTACGACGATTCGCGGGGCATGGGCGAGGGGATCGTAGACAATAAGCGGATGCTCACAAAATTCTGGCTCCTGTTAGAAGAAGTGACGTCGCAGGACTCGGCAACGGCGTCCGAGACATTTTCCCGCCCCAGCCTGTTTGCCCATCACCTGTCAAACAGCTTGCTGTACCCTGCGAACCTTTTCGTGGTGGAGGGGATGACAGAAATACCATCGACAGGACATCAGCAGTCAGACCACAGCACAGAAAGAGAACTTGTTCTCAAGAAAAAAGTTGTCCTGGTCTCACGGCCATTTCCCTGTGACGTTCATCTCGTGAATCTAAGAACCTTGTCAGATGTTAGCTACACGCAGTTCCCGTCACAGTCGGCCCTCCTGGTGGTCCAGCGGCAAGGATACGCTTGTGATATCGGTGCAGGTGTCACGATTCCGCAGTGCTCTTTGGAAGTGGCCTCTAGTAACAATGCGGACGGAAGTAAGAGTCCGACTTTCCACAAGCGAACGTTCTTCAGTGATCTGAATATGGGAGCCATCGTTCAAACATCTCTCACAGGACTACATCAAATACACAAGTTTGAAAGTCTAGACAGTGTAGAGATGAGTCCTATGGAATTGCTATCACTCAACGTGACCTTTGTGCTGTGATAAACCTATACGCTGCGTTCGTAAGTGAGCTGGGACGACCTCACAACTAAGCTACTACCACGACCATTCTTGATACCAAATTCGCAGTGTTCGTTCGCTTATTATTTTAGCGTGGCAACTTTGTTGTGGACGTAGTTGTAGCGTTATTAATTAGCCATCTCTGCGCGCACCAGTATTTTAATGTAAGTGCTGTGCACTTATTTACATGTCCCATCCTCAGGCCTTTATTTACGCGACATTAACGATGATTAAAATATAGAATATAAAATCATATAAGAACATGGACCGTACATTCTGTTTTCCATATGACGCTGGACGCATTTTGTATCCGATTGGCTGACTAAAATTAATAAACAAATAACAAATGATGACATAACGCGGTTCGGACTTCCGTGTTGAGGGCGGTCGTGTTCTGGATACACGCGTGGCACGGTACTTGCCATTTTGTTGTCGTTCTTTGTTGTTGTAAGACCATGAAGTGGCCTGTACCTTCTTTGCATCTTCTTAATTATAGTTCACGCCGGTGGGTGCAACAAGAACGAAGACTGCTACTGGAAATGACATACTCTTTATCCCACGCCCGTAGCGTAGTTCCATATTTAGCGGTCCGAGGATGATCCACGCGCAGTAGAATAGACACTAAGACATGTAAATAAATGCTTAGTTCTTGCGTTTATTACATCGTTATGTGGAGACTGCTAATTGATACGAAATTTTTGTTGATGTTTATGGTACGTTACTACATTTGATCATTGAAATGTTTAGAAAGTATCATTTGAGCATGTAAGTTTCCACATGTCTTCCTTGCCAGTGGTATTTTCTTTGTATTATCTTCCCTTTTGTATTCGCCTTAAGGAGCCAGTTTTGTTTTGCTCTGTGGCATCCTGATGTTTATTATCTTTGCTGTTTCCAAGTTTCTTTACAGACGACAGAATTCTGAAAGACACGAAAAGACTTAATACTAAAATACCTCTTTTATGGTATGTATTAAGATACGACGAGGGTTACTTCAGAAGTCATGTCAACTAATTTTTGGGGGGGCAAACACCTTACATTGAAGAATATACATATGAAAGGGCACGATGTACTCCTCCGATTGGCGTAGTCAGATCGGGTAGGTGTGAGTGGGTGTAGGTACAGTAGGCAAGAAGAAAGGCACATTACGAAATGACCGGTTTCTTTCATTCTTTAATCCTTGAAAAATTCAATTGTGTTTAAAGAAATTCAAGAATTCAATGTGAGTTCAATCAGAATTCTTACATTAAGACTAGCAACCTTCAAAGTAGTCTCCGAGTGTACCAAGTACTCGCTGCCAACGACGAGGAAGACGGCGAATACCGTCAGCTTCACCATCTCCAAATCTTGCCATCTCGGGCCAAACTGGATTGGAAATGTCCTCTCGCGTACGAAAGCGTTTCCCTCGCAACGGCTGTTTCAATTTTGATATTAAGTCATAGTCACATGGCGAAAGGTCGGGTGACTATGGAAGATGGAGTAGTACTTCCCATCTCCAACGTCGTAAAAGGTTCTTGACGCTGTTTGAACGGTCATTCCGTAATGTGCCTTTTTTCTTGCCTACTGTACCTACACCCACTCACACCTACCCGATCTGACTAAGCCAATCAGAGGAGTATATCGTGCCCTTTCATATGTGTATTCTTCAATGTAAGGTGTTTGCCCCCTCCCAAAAAAAATTAGTTGCCATGACTTTGGAAGTAACCCTCGTATAACCTATGAGAATACTACAAAACCAAAGACTCCAGGCATCTCCTATTATAAAGCAGAGTTCTTTAAAGTTTTCTAATATACGGTGCATATGAAAAGTGTACATATATATAAAGGCAGATTGAATTAGATCGTCAACTTGTACATAATGTGAAACTAAATGTTGTTACTGTCATATTGATTATTTGTTAGGAGAGTTTTCTGTTTCCTTTGCGCACTTCAAAATGGATCGTGTGTCTGAGCTACGGGCTCTTAAAAAGTCTGCCGTAGAATTGTTTCGAGATCATAGCCGACTGATGTTTATTAGAAATTGCTTTTTTTTATTATTAAATTAAAGACAACTGAACTGAAAATAAGTCTTATTGGTCTGCGTGCTATTTTTATACCATCTTATTGTCTGGATGTGAGGATTTGACTCCATGTGCTTCATAATTGCAATCTAATGCTCAAGGGAACATTACATGTTGTAAGGTCAACAAACATTGAAACATGGGGGAAAGAATGCGGTTCTGAAAGCAACTTTTAAGATGTAGTAAAAGAGTGGGTTTCGTGTGCAGCCAAAAAGGATTCACTGAAACAGAAACGCCAGTGTGTAGCAGCTTAGTCGCTGATCTCTGCTGTCGCACGGTCTTATCTCCTGCTAAATAAATCGTAACGAGACGTTACGACGTACGTTAATTTTATACGCCGACTTAATCGTGGGGGGTCTGCGCTGTTTCACAGTTACGTTTTCTGTCGTTAAGTCCGACATATCAGACAGACGTGACGTACATCGAAGCAGTCTTTTTTAGAATTGCAAAAAATTACATTAGAACATCATTAAATGATGTCAAGAGTAAATTTCATTGCTGCATTTTGAGTTGGCAGAACTGCCTTCGTTAACAGTGGTCACACTGATATTTCAGAATGAGATTTATGAGTTGTTAACAGTCCCATTAAGAATTATATACAATAATTTGACCGGTTCATTCAAGGATGTTATTTGCTCCTGTTTCAATCGAATGATGAACATTACAATTACAGTCTCTGCTTTTCGCTACACTCTTGAAAAACCAGAATGAGTTTCCTGAATTTTTTTTTGCAGAATTTCTCAATGTATCTGTGAAGATGAATTTTACCGAACGAAGGCGAATCTTACGTATTATCCCCTATTGTGTGAGAATGTGATGATAACGATATCATTCTGGGTTTTCATCTTATTCCGACGTGCCGAGTTGCTACAGATCACTTCTGACAATTACATGCTGTCGTCCTTCAGAGAGTTTTCACCAAAACATGTAAAATATATCTCCATATAGTATACAGAAAGCAATTATTTGTTTTCAAAGTGAATTCTTAAATTACATGTTTAAAAGCTGTGACCTGAGCGCATGTTACGGTCAATTTTTAGTTGTACGTTGCGTATTTTATCTTCAGTCCAATGCTGCGCACAGGTTATGGAAATTTTTAATTTAGTGGGCAGTCCTATGGACTTCTAAATTTAGTTCTGTCCTATTACAGCTCTCAACATCATTCTGATGATACGAGGCTCGTCCTCAAAGTAAGTTTCCCTGGGGCCGTTTACAGAAACAAAACACAATTTCATGGAAATATTTATTGCAACAGATACAGCAAGTGTCCAGCTATTTTTCAACATATTCGCCACCGGAATTGAGACATTGGTCATACCGTGGGACCAACTTTTGAATACCTGGGTCGTAGAAGTCTGCCGCCTGGGATTGGAACCACGGTGTGACACCCATCTCCGCCTCTCTGTCATTCTCAAAACGCTGACGCTGACCGGACAGGAATTTCTTGAGGGGTAGGAAAAGATGGAAATCACTGGGAGCGAGGTCCGGGCTGGAGGGTGAATGATTAAACACCTCCCAGCTAAACTCCTGCAGGAGACTTGCTGTCCGTCGAGCCGGGTGCGGCCTAGCGTTATCACTGACCGCACTTCACAGTCGGCGGGAGCTGGAATAAGAACCTCCATCTTCAACAGCTGCAACGATGCTACTGTGAGAACGCGGGAAGTGCCGTTAGTGCATGCGCCATGCTACGTCATTGCTCTATCACGTACGCACAGTCGCTTCGCGCAATATAAGGTTTGCTAGCTGTGGGACGAGTGGGAAACTTACTTTGTGGAAGAGCCTCGTAATATGTTTCTGCCTTATGGAATGGATGAATATTTTTTTTTAATTAAACATTTTATGTTCCTGGCTTAAATAGGAGAAACTTGTTTTAATGCAGTTCGTGTATAAGAAATGAAGTGCTGAATTTTCTGTAAATAACTTTTACCAGAAATTGGACACATGCTGATAGCTGCTACAAACAGGCCTCTTGATACATTTCATTTGAAGAAATATCCTTGATCCAGAGATTACAAACCATAGAAGTTGCAGTAGTTTCAATATTCATTCAATTCCTTGCAAGAAACGACTAGAAGTGTGTTTGTGTGTGTGGCTGTTATGTATGCATGAATAGAAATTACATGATAATACATTACGAAACTAACAAAAAAAAAAGGACATGGGCAGAAATGGATGATTCATTATCTATTAATTTTGTGGCATCATAAATGGCTGTTATATAAATTACAATGTTTAAATTCAAATACACTTTTCTATGCTTTTATTCCATGTACCTCTCGTAACCTACCTTCATCATTGCTCAAAACTCAGAACAGAAACTTTTTTTTAAGTACCACAGTTTTAATGCGTACAGTTGAATGTTATTCATGACCTTCACAAAAGTACTTCCTGCCTCCATCATCAGGGGCAATCTGAATATAGAGGCAGCAAGCACCTCTGAACTTCTACCAGACTGTACCAGTACAATATTCCAGCAGACAGTCATCTTCAGTAAAGCACCTGATGCAATCCATTACACTCATAAGCATGCCCAGTTGCACTTAATCCCAAACTCAGTGAACAAGCACACTTACTTTTTTCATATTAGAATTTTGATGAAGCTGTACACAAACTGTACAGTACATCAAAGAATCATTTAGTATGATCAACTGCATTAATTTCCCAGACAACATTGTTAAATGTGTGGACAACTTCAGCCCTTGTTTTTTGTGAATGCCCAGAAAACCAGGCTTCATGGCATATTCTGCAACCAATTTTCCAATTTTTTATGATTCACCAATCATTTTCATTTAATTTCTGTAGGCACTGGTCTGTTCTCCAATAATTGGGAGTCACGTAATGCACACAATTTTCAATACAATTGTTACTTTTAATAGTGTTGGAAATTAGACTTAAAACGGCACAAGTGTCTGAAACATTTGAAACTATCCACAACGCTGCTACCAGTTTTGATTTTGATACTACTAGTTAGTGCTTCTTGAAAATAATTTCATCCGTCCGTTTCCTTTTTTAACCCCTGCTTTCGTGTGAAAATATTTAGTTTTACAAACATTCAAACTTCTGTACAAACCAAGGATGAAAACATTATTTTAAATTGCTGGATTTTTGGACTTTGTCCATCGTCTGATATTAAAAAAAAAAACACACGACGTTTCAGAAATTGGATGTTTTCGTCATCAGGTAAAATTAACAGTAATTGAGGTTATCTACCATTCGTCGTAAAATACGTTCATCACAACAGCATAAAATACGGTACTAGTAGGGCCAACATAACAACCTAGAACTTCATGACTCAATTGTTACAGTGTACCCAATCACACTTGAAGTTACCAAATAACTACTTCTGTAACCGTGCCCTGATAATAAATAATGTAACACTGAATTGCATTGTTGAAAGGTTTCCGTAGAAACAGACTAGTTATTCAGATGACAACATAATAATACTGCTTTTGTGATATGGTTTGTGTGTGGAGAACTGTCATGCAAAATGAAATATTTATCTGAGGAAACATGTCCATGGTCATGGAGTCTAAATCCTCATGAGCGGAGAAACTATCTCCTACAGGAAGTAGAGAGCACACAAACACCAAAGGTAAATGTTTTTCGTCTATACGTACGTTCCGTGGATTAAAAAGTATGGCTGTGTGTGTGGTGAGGAATAAATCAAAAAGTACAAAACGAAGAAATGATTACGTTTTGACTGTATTTTGGATTTAATAAACGATAAAAGTTTTCCATAAATCGAATGCTAAACGGTAGATATATAATAATATAGGAAAAGCGCACAGGTGTACATAAGAAAACGGTAGATGTATTAATGTTAATTCATACCATTCAGCTACTATAACCTTTGAAAGGATTATGTGTCTTTTAAACCGTAGGAATTCCTCATCATATTAAGGTATGTGCGTTTAAATATCTTATTTTTCTGGTCCTCTGTTTTGAAGGTATTGTATTAGTTGCTACAGCATTATTATTGATTGTAAGGGACTCTTCATTAATATCTGATAGGCAAAATACGGAACATGTGCTTAGTCTAGAAAAATATTTTATTAGACACTACAGGAGACATTGTGAGTTTTTGTTTCAAAGTTTATAGAATGAAACATTCTGTGTTAGCAAAGAATGTAGTTGTTTTTTGTATAATGAATTATTCTTGGGCTACCAGCAACCTCAGGTGGTATATTGGGGAAAATGGTGTATACTTAGTTTCCAAAGAAAGCTTTAGATGATAGTTGTTTTTGTGGTCGTTTTCATTGAGACAGCCTGCATTTATGTCACTACAAATTAAAAACTCAGATGTAGAATAGAATTAATTTACATTCCATAGATCTTTCATAGTCCCAAATCAAGGATGTGATGTTACAGTCATAGCAAAGCATGCTGAGCATAGTTTAGGGATTAATGTATTTAATACGTGTTTTCCAGTTTAAGTTGTTGTAAATTTGTAGGCCAAGATATGTAGTTGTTTATATCTTGAGTTTTTTATTACATCATGGCTGCTCAATGCTGAGTCCCAGTTTTCAAAGCCTAGATGGCTTTTAAATCTGTTAATATTGTCTTCATTTATAAGTTTGATTTTTTTTTTCCTGTAACTATGATAATTGAAGACATTCTATATTTTTTGTCACCAGTTCATTGGAAATATATTCTTTCCTGGAACTATCTAAAAATAAGTTACCAGTCTCAGTGATGGAGTGATTTTAAATTCTTGTGTGGGAATTAGCTATTTACATGAGGTTTAAATATGCTAGTAGGGAGTTTAGACATTGTTTGTGGTGAATTTCAGTAAGATAAATTAATATTAACATTTATTAGGATTATATGGCTATTTTAAGTTGGCATGTAATCTTTTTATATGTTGATTAAAATCGTGTGAGGGGGCTCTGTAGAAGTTTGGTATAATTAAGGTGAATTGCAGAGATGTGAAATGTCAATTTTGTTGTAAATTCACGTTCATTAACAAAAATTTATGCGCCCCGTCTGTAGAGTTCGTCAGCTGAAATACATAAAACCAGGCAGTGTGAGGTGTTCTCCCATGTGATGTCCACTTCAAGACAATGTCTGTGGATTTGTACTGTATATTTCAAGAGAATTTAGTAATTCCTCATTTGCTGATTGAACCCGTGATATTCTGATGAAATATATTGAATGAATTTAAAGGGTCTCAGTTTTTAACATGAACTTTTGGGGTATGGTGATTTCATTCAATATAAGTGAACCATTTTTGCTATATTGATTTTTAGCTATGGAGTGAAAGAATTTGTGTTATTGTTCGTTGTCAATGCCATTGGATGTTTGTGGGAGGAGGAATTGTTGTTTCAACAGTAAGAAGTTCTGCTGTTAGCAGAAACTTCTCAGTTTAAATGTAATTCTTCTTTTTTTTAGGTCAGCTACGAGAATCTTGCAAAATGGTTAGCAATTGCAGAAGATGTGCAGATTGTCTGTGATTTGTGTTCTGGTGTGGATGATGTAAGTACAGTTGGAATTGATTGTCATGTTCCAGGAAGTTAGTATCTGTTGGCTCATGTAAAGGCTTTAAAAGAATAGTCAATCCAGAGAGGAATTTTGTTATTTTGATACTGGGAAAACATAATTTTGTGTTAATTCAAAAATTCGCGACAAATAAGGTGCTGTACGCTTCCCAGCAAACAGGAATTTGTAATGTCATAGCCCACAATATGGCATTGATTGATGATTTGCATAAATATTACATAAAACCTTCATTATCATGGGACATTTAAACTTTACTCACACCTGGATACATAAGATACTTGAATATTAAGTCTTAAAGGTACATTTCACTTCAGCCTCAATAGATCTAGAAGGAATTTTTGTTCTTCAAATTTTTACATCACATTCAGAGAAATACGCAGAGTTTGAATATGAGTACTAAACTGCTTTAAAGATTAATTTTCGCAGAGTAAACTTTATAAAATGGCTTCCTTACTTTAGAACAGTGGCTCGTAAACCTGCAGCTTGCTAGTGTGTGTTTCATGACCTCCATAAGTCTTTAAATTTTTGTGTTGCCGTGTGTGATGTCAATAAATACCTCTTGTTAATGTCTTAAGTATCTGGCAATGACTGTCCTGGTACAAGAATTGGGCGTACAATTTGTGAAATCATATTCAAATACGAAATAGCAGGAAACATTTTAAAAAGTTTCTTTCTCCTCGTAATAGTATGTTACCAGCTTTCTTAACATTGGACTCTCACTTTAAAAATGTTACTCTGTTGCGTGCCTTCAGTGGCAGACACTGTATGGTACTTAATAATTATAGCTTGGTTTTTGAGTGGCGTCATAGCACAATTGTGAAACACTAATAATCTGACCTGACTGTCCAGTGAAATGTTTCCTTTGCGTGGTTTAGTTAGTCGGTTTATACCTTCTGAATGATGGGAATCAAAGTCTTGCAAGGCGTTTGATGTGCGTTGTGAAATTGTTTGCAGGCCAGAAGAACGAGAGACCAGGAAGAAGCAGAGGAGGATGGGCCTGGGTTTGGCACAGAAAATGAGTTGACTGCCATTGGATGTGATACAGACAGGATTATGAAAAGTGGCCTGCCTTTCGATGAAGAAGAAATCCTTCTTAGTTCGCAGTTTGAGAATATGAAGCCCCATTGTAAGACGACAGCTGCTGTCATCGAGGAGAAAAGGGACGAGCGTATTGTAATAGCAACACAGCTGGATGTGGATAAGGTGGAGGACGAGATGCAGGAGATGCAGCGGCAGAATGAGATTGAATCGGGGATTGACATTGAGGAGAGCTTCATGGAATCTGAGCACGAAACATATGAGGCTGATGAGTTGAGTGAGCAACTGGAAGAGAAGCTGGAGGCTATGAAGAAGGGTGACGTAGACGTTCTCGGAATAGCTTGCAATAGTGATGAAGGCTCCCAGAGTATTGTCTTGTCTCAATACATGGATTCTGTGGCTAACAGGACGAATGATTACGTAAGATACGAACGTAAAATTCTGATGAGCGTGATGGAACAGCAGGCTGCGTATAGGCAGTTACATTACGCATCTACAAGCAGTCAGAGTAATATTGATGTTGAAGGGAACATGTCGCAGATGAGTTCACAAGGTTATTCTAGTGTTAATGCAGAACATGAAACACTTCATAGGAAAAGAAAGGCGGCGAGTTTGGAGCCGTATTTTGCGAAGAAGGCGGCTGTCATGAAAGAGCGTGGGAACATGGTGATTGGAAGGATACCACAACAGCGAGCATTCTTAGAAGACTTGAGGGACAGAAAACGGCGACTCGAGGAACAGAACATTGAGCTGCAAAATGAATTGGATTCGTGCAGTGACATGGAGAAACAATTAACGTTGCTGAAGCGGTTAGCGGTTGAGGCTTATGATGTGAGTGAGCAACTGGAAGAAGAGGTGGATTCTCTGGGGATGGCTGGTGTATATGTGATATATTCTGATTGTCAGAAAGGCTCTTGGTTGAGCGAGGAACGCGACGCTCTAAGTAATATGATCGAGAGGATAGAAGAAAACATCGGAAACGTACATGATTGTCTTCTGCACGAAACATATGAGGCTGATGAGTTGAGTGAGCAACTGGAAGAGAAGCTGGAGGCTATGAAGAAGGGTGACGTAGACGTTCTCGGAATAGCTTGCAATAGTGATGAAGGCTCCCAGAGTATTGTCTTGTCTCAATACATGGATTCTGTGGCTAACAGGACGAATGATTACGTAAGATACGAACGTAAAATTCTGATGAGCGTGATGGAACAGCAGGCTGCGTATAGGCAGTTACATTACGCATCTACAAGCAGTCAGAGTAATATTGATGTTGAAGGGAACATGTCGCAGATGAGTTCACAAGGTTATTCTAGTGTTAATGCAGAACATGAAACACTTCATAGGAAAAGAAAGGCGGCGAGTTTGGAGCCGTATTTTGCGAAGAAGGCGGCTGTCATGAAAGAGCGTGGGAACATGGTGATTGGAAGGATACCACAACAGCGAGCATTCTTAGAAGACTTGAGGGACAGAAAACGGCGACTCGAGGAACAGAACATTGAGCTGCAAAATGAATTGGATTCGTGCAGTGACATGGAGAAACAATTAACGTTGCTGAAGCGGTTAGCGGTTGAGGCTTATGATGTGAGTGAGCAACTGGAAGAAGAGGTGGATTCTCTGGGGATGGCTGGTGTATATGTGATATATTCTGATTGTCAGAAAGGCTCTTGGTTGAGCGAGGAACGCGACGCTCTAAGTAATATGATCGAGAGGATAGAAGAAAACATCGGAAACGTACATGATTGTCTTCTGTTGAAAGTCGAGAATCAGCAGGCTGCATTGAGTGAATTACATTTCCAGTCTTCGAGCGTTCAGGCGGATCTTGCCGCTCAAAGGGACGTCCTACGAATGGGATTACGAGATCGTGCCGGTGTCGACGCAGAACTTGAAGAGCTCCGCGATAGAGAGAAGAAAGCTGAAGAAATAGGAATTGAATGTGACAGGATGGCGGATGCTTTGGGAACGTTTGACAGTGTTACGGTGCCTCTTCTTAACGAGGTGAATAAAATGGAAATAATTACTGCCGTAGAAAATAATAAACAAATTGAGGTCTCCGATTGCACATTGGAAGAATGGGACTGACTGATATGGTTGGCACTCATTCTTCCAGCGTTGGAGAGAATAGGGTAAGGCGCTCCATGCCGTCCTCTTGATCGGTGATGCACAGCCTCACTTTACCCCATATTTTTTAATAACTTTTTTTGTGGGCAACCCTAGCCTGTTGTACCGATTCCTGTTGCTTTTCGTATTGCTGCTCAAGCGAAACAAAAATTAATAAATCCAATGAGACACTCGAGCTTGGGGCGTTCGATGTTATACTTGCCGTTTGTGGACTGGCGGATGAAATTGCCACTCCGAGATCTGCTTTTTTGACAATTCGGGGAGTTCTTTCTTTCTTCACAGATATCCAAAATTCGGCCATGTCAGACTTTCTGAGATTGATTGCACATTTTCATCTGTTGACATACAAATTCACCGTGCACATTCTTGTGGTGCAGCATCCCTGTATCCGTAATATGTTCCAAGTCTATTTCATTCTCACTGATGAGTTTCTGACTCGCGTGTTTCTTTTCCACAAAGCTAGTTCTGTAGTAAAAGGTTTTGCGTTATCGCTGAGGATTGAGATATTTGTGTTATGATATCAAGAGATAAATTGAGGTCATTCACTATTTAAAGATGTCTGTAAAGTAGATAAGAATTGGAAGACTCCTTTCGTCCATAAAATGTATAATGTCTAAAAAAAAACAATGCAAGAATTAACAAAATGTGACACAGAGACACGAAGTGAGCACGTGATGTTAGAAAAATGGCGCCGTTAGACTTGCTCGACGCAGGGTTGCCACAAACCTTCAATGTGTAAAAACCGCAATATATGCGAAGCCCAATAGAACGAGGTATGCCTGTACTCTTCTTCCATAAATATTCTTTTTAAATTAAGGAGGGTGCAGTTGACGGAATGTGCGTCACTGAAAGGGGAAAGTGAGAAAAATACACACACACATCCACGTAGACGTGCACGTGCTCACACGGACATTCACAAGAACCGTTTTATCAGTAAATCTCAAGGTAAGAGACCACATGGGTAGGCATTGTGAAAATGGCTGATAATGTGGACGGGATTGAACTGGCTCAGGATAGGGTGCAATAGCAATATTTTTTTCAATGTGGTAATAAATCTTCATCAGATGTTGGCTGAATAAGTTTCAGCTTTTCAAGGAAGGCCCCGCGCGATGCAGTTTTCATATTTTCACTAAACGCGTACGTATACCAACATTCTGAATCGCCGGTCTCGATGAGTCCGCTTATCGCTTATAAGGCGGCGGATCTTTGAAGGGGGCGAAATGGTCAGGATTCATTATATTAAGATTAAACCACTGGTGTAACATTTCGCTTTTGTTTGTTTTCCAATCAACCGATGAAACTCAGGATTTGTTTGCCCGGGTCTCAGCACGATTCTGTTTTGTTTGCAGCTGATTCCAGTCGCAGTGGAAGAACACTGCAACTTCAGAGAGCTTCTTATTTTCTCAGAGGCAGTGTTATTGTCCATGGAGTTCAAACTGATGGTAAGCAGCTTTGTTTCGTTCCAGTAATCCAATTCTTTACAGGAACTTCAGTGAGACATAAAACTTGTAACCTCTTTATGCAACAGACATGTAAATTTCCTTCTTCCATTTCGTTTGACAGGTTGGTGGTTTATGTCCGTTACACAGTTGTGTGTAGTTGAGTCTCCTTTTAACAAGATTAATAGCCGAGGCCCAACATTTCAGCTCCTCTTGCCTATTAGTGTTCTTTAAAATTTCTTGTATGCAATGGTAACCGCCACGGTGGTCTAGCGGTTAGAACGCTGGCCTTGTAATCCTGGGGTCTCGGGTTCGAATTTATAACTTGTGTTGGGCAAGGCCGTGGTCTAGGCAACACGGAGTTTTCCTCCGTGGCATCCCAACAATTACTCCATTCACACACAGAAGAAGGCAATGGCAAACCACTGCTGGATCATCTGCCAAGAACGTATATGAACAGATCCCAGTCCGAGAAAAGGATGGAAGAAGGATCCTGTTCATATGGACCTGACCTGTCGTCAATCCCAACAATTACTTCATTCACACACAGAAGAAGGCAATGGCAAACCACTTCTGGATCATCTGCCAAGAACGTATATGAACAGGTCCCAGTCCGAGAAAAGGATGGAAGGATCCTGTTCATATGGACCTGTCGTCAGACAGAACAATAAATAAAATAAAATAAATATACAATGGTGCAGTTCGCTTTTACTGAAGTTGGGTGTGCGCCTTCAGGGGGGGGGGGGGGGGGGGGGCGGGGGGGGGGGGTGGGGGGTCAGGAGGCATAGGAGATGAGGTCAGGAGACGTAGAAGCGTGAAAAATTCCGTTAGAGGCGATCATGTAAGCTGGAAGCTGACCCGGAGATTCAGGACAGCTGCATCGGGCAGGATCTCGTGATTGTGTCATTGTTTGTTAAAAAGCTACATAAACTTATACAAATAAAATCAGAACCCGGTGGAAAAGTTTGCGTCTTTAAAGAGATTAGTGTTGGCCGACACGGAATTACAGGACCCTCTCGACTGCACAGATGAAGAAACGTAAACCTTGAATAAGGAGAAGGTACTCAGTGGCATTATGTTTTAAGTTCACTCTTGTTAAGTTTAAGAAATGAAATGATCACATTACAGGTTTTTTTTCTTCGTTTTTCAGTTACTTTGTAACGTGTTTGTATGACAGTAATTTTCCTTGATTAGGGTTTAATTTCTTCTCTCCCCCCCCCTCCCCCATTTGGTTGATACATTACATAGTAAATTCACATGTTTTGGTAATTCTGAAACAGTGTTACGTGTACGATTTGTCTGAGTTGAACAGCTAAGAAGTAAAAGATGGTGTAATCTCCATAATCAAGGTTGTGACAGCATTCGCAGGACGACCGAGGCATTCAGATTGCATTTATAAGTGACAACAGCTCAGCTGTTTCGTTGTGCACGACATATTTGTAACGTTTTGTAATCGCCTGGGGTGCTGCGGTAATGTAAATCAATGATGAATAAAAGTCGCTTCCCATTAAACTGCTTTTTATTATTTTTGCGCTCTCGACACGGTAATATTAAACAGTAGTAGTTGTTTCACAAAACTTGTCACACTAAGACAAAAAAAGAAAAATATAGTTATGAATTAATTACGCGGTCTGGCGCAAACATTTGATGCGGGTTTTCATCATGGATGTCCAACATTTGTTCCTTACGAAAGTTCTGTGCCAGCTAATTTCATAATGAGACTAAACTTCTTGTTGGTAGTCCCATGAGTTTGTGCTTTGAAGTGTTAAGAAATTTTGCTTTTACAGTATTTCTCTCTTCTCGTAGTAGTGACCGTGACAGTAGTGTGTTACTAGGGACACCGTTTACTCAGAACAATAGTACCGAGTCTCCAATTTATGACTTTCGGGGCGTGCTTACATTGCGTTATCGGCCGCTGCTGTTGACGTAGAAACTAAATCATGTTGCCAGTTGTAATTTTTTGAGATTACACTGTGCAACAATTTTTGGGTCATTTCTTGTTATGGGCATGAAAGTAAGTTTACTTTACAGAAGTTATTCGGACTATTCACACAATTACGGGGCAAGAAGTAGGAATCTTTGCAGAGAACCGCTAACTGAGAAGAAATCACCCAATACCTGGCCGGATTCGAGGAATACTGCAGGAGTTGAGGATGCATTTGAGGCGGCAACAACTTATCGCATAATGCTGAGCGGGGTGGCTGTTGCTGGTCACGTTTTAAGAGCGTGGTGGTACTAAAACTGATGATAATGAAGAGTAACTCGCTAGTATGAGACCCCGACCGCAATTCGAAAACAGGAGCCAGTCGACAAATTTTAATTTGATTTTCGTGTTCAGCAGCCTAATATTAGTCAAGATTGGTTAGTTTCATTTGCATTTTACGTGTTGACCAATGTTATTGCATTATGCAATGGTTCTCGTAAGTTGGTGATTTTAAACATTAAAAAGTAAAAGTGTCGAGTAAAGTAAGCTGTTTCCTTTGCGTGGTTTAGTTAGTCGGTTTATACCTTCTGAATGATGGGAATCAAAGTCTTGCAAGGCGTTTGATGTGCGTTGTGAAATTGTTTGCAGGCCAGAAGAACGAGAGACCAGGAAGAAGCAGAGGAGGATGGGCCTGGGTTTGGCACAGAAAATGAGTTGACTGCCATTGGATGTGATACAGACAGGATTATGAAAAGTGGCCTGCCTTTCGATGAAGAAGAAATCCTTCTTAGTTCGCAGTTTGAGAATATGAAGCCCCATTATAAGACGACAGCTGCTGTCATCGAGGAGAAAAGGGACGAGCGTATTGTAATAGCAACACAGCTGGATGTGGATAAGGTGGAGGACGAGATGCAGGAGATGCAGCGGCAGAATGAGATTGAATCGGGGATTGACATTGAGGAGAGCTTCATGGAATCTGAGGAGGAAACAGATGAGGCTGCTAATGTAAAATGTAGCTTCTGGAGATGAGCCTGGTTAAATTTTGTAAGTTATCCAACTGGATTGCATTTCAAAATTTAACATCCCTTGACCCTGAAAGCTGAAGTTTTACGTTCAACTCCAGGTGTGAAGACCTGACTACAACAATTACGAACATTGCTGTCTTCTGAGTTGTTGCGCTCATATGGATCGGTAGAAGTTTACTGATGTTACAGAGGTGCGATCTGCCTCCATCATCAGGGTGACGAGTAAGCCGTGCACGAGGTATTGCTTTGAGATATAGGAACCAGTCGGTGAAGGCTGAACGTTAGGTGGGCCAGTGGGGAAGGAACTCGGCATCGGGTGAGGGCAGACCAAGAGCCTGGCCTGAAGCAGGGTAAGGTCATTTGTAGCTCGGACATGCAAAAGAGACAGGGATCATTTCCTTTTCCCTCTCTCTCTCTCTCTTGCATGTTTCAGCTACGTCTGTCCTCCTCCCATTGGCTCCCGATGCTTACCCCCTTCCACCTTGTCCGAGGCTGAAGAGGACAACTTTGCAAGTGCAATCTCAAAGATGGAAAATTCCTGCAGAAGATGCACCGTGCAAGTTGAGAACAAAAGAAACTTGATAATTTACAAACCATTTTACTTGTTAATGAAATATTCATACGTTAAGGCTCGGTTCCACGATGAAGGGTTCTGCTGTACGTACTTCAGGCTCATTAAATTGATCAGCTACTAGCTTACTAAAGTAATCCTTCCATCTGTCTACAGTGCCATTTGAGTCCGCTAGCAGATAACCATTCTCGTCCTTGATCGAGTGTGTCCTAGGTTTGTAACCCTGCTTGAATTCACTTATGCCCCTACACAACTCTTTGATGTTTATATGTTTGCTCTTCGTTTCCAGCTCGCTTATTCTGATCTTTGAGAGACTCCCTCTTCTTATTCCTCAGAGTTCTGCTGTTTCCTCCGTCTTACCAGGATAGAGCATTCTTCGTTGAACCGTGCTCTATTTCGCAAAATTTTATGATTCGTCACTAATTACGGAAATGTCAGTAATTAATATATTTATGTCTGATTCTAAATACGCGTTAATAAAGCAGTTTTGTACGTGTCTTGAGGATTAATAGTACTTTGTCATGTCAGTGAAGGCGTTCTTACTGCGTCAGCACTTAAAATGTACATTTCACAGACTGTGAGAATGATTACTGCTTGCTGGAAACTGACTGTAAACCAGAATTCCGTATGTTACAATGACGATTTAATAATCACCAATTAATGTCCTTACTATTAATATATCGTCGCCCTCGGTGGACTAGTGGTTATCGTGCTTGCCACTGGGGGCCAAGGTTCGCGGGTTCAACCCTGGCCTAGGGTTATAAAAATCCTTAGCACAGCTTTATTCAGAGGCGAAGTAAAGCTGGCAGTTCCATGTCGTAGATTTACGGCATGTAAAAAGAATCTTACGAGCATGAACGAGATGTTTCGTAAGCAAATTCCAGCGGCCATTTCTCACCCAAGTCTCCTGATGCATTGCTAGATGGCTCTGGCAGTCAAATCAGGATTGAGTAGAAATTGTGCTGGTCACTCGCTACTCATAAATGCTCGGTTCAAGACAAGGAAACCCGCAACCGAGTTGTTTGTTCCAAGAAACAACTGTTAATGTATCAATTTTTGCAAAGATTTAAGAACAGAAATGTAGTACTTAAACTGTATTCGCTCTGGGTTTGAAGCCTTTTCTTTTTAATCTATTTGTTCAAGTAAATACAGTGTCGGAATAAAGGGATATGTAAATGGTGACGCCGGATATGTCGTAGCTTGAACGTTGCACATCCTGATGTGAACAAATGCTCGCTGTCTATTCGTCATACAGCTGCTTCAGTACAGCGAAGTACGTGTACACAGTATTCAGCATCTGAAAGTCAGACGCACATTAAACACGACCAGAAAAAAATCTTTGTTCTTGAACGTTGTAGCGTGTTGCAAAAGTGTTCAGTTGGTGTATAATATTTTCAGCAATTGTGACAGTGATGATAATACCAGAGTGGATTTTAGTGTAAGATTTAAAAGAATAAGATATTATGAAATGATTCCAGTAATGGTTACCGCCGCAGTGCTGGTAACAACCTCAATAAGCCGTGTGCCCACCGAAAGTTAATTTATGAACTGTAATGAAACTGTCACTTCCTGGCTCCTGGCAGGAACTGCATAATTCATCTCCAAGTGCTAGGAGCAGCTGCCGCTAAAATTATTTATACAACGGCGCAGGTGTGTTTGAGGACAGAAAATACTTTAAAAATACCTTTTATTTCAGGAACGGAAGTGGTTCATTTTAATGCGCTGAGACTGATTTGCCTTGTGCTTTCCAGTTTTATTTATTCGTCCGCCCACAAAGTTAACAGACGAATAAATGAAATGATGACCAATAATTGTGATGGAGAAAATTTAGTAACAATATTGACAATGCTTAAAATCATTACCTGAGTGAATGTCGTCAGAGAGACTTCGTAGAACATGCCTGCGCTGAGGTGCACAGGTTTTTGGGCCCTCATGATTACCACAGACAGGAGAAACTTGAAGCTTGGGGGGTGGTGATACCAGTTGCACCCGTAGGCTGCTTGCTGCACTGCCAAGCTCTGCAAGCCACAAGAATTTATCTCGTCTTACTGAGACACCGCGAGCGAAACAGAGGAGCGACTCATCAACGAGGCGTGGAAGAAATTACTTGACCTCTCACCTCCTGCATGATGTCAGTGCCGAACCAGCAGAACACGAGCGGCCCGCAAGCTGCCGCGGCCAGTCCCAGGACGAACTTGAGCACGCTTTTCCCCTGACCCCAACTCTGCAGCAGAAGACAGAAACTGACTCATCACGTGCTCACTGCGAATCTAAGATCAGTTCTTTGCTGTGGAGATTTCCATCAGGATTTTATATAACTAAACAGTTTTAGCGCTGTTTCCAGAGCTGTGCTTTCCACGAGAGCTGGTGATTGGTATTTTAATTCCATGCTATTAATATCATCATGATTGATAATGTGTGATATTTTAAATATGGCATCTTCTTAAAAATAAACATACTTCGCTAATGCAATTGCTTTGTACAGAAAGTTACTGACTAGCCAGTATGTTTTTTTTTATTATTTAGTGTTCTGTCTGAGGACAGGTCCATATGAACAGGATCCTTCCATCCTTTTCTCGGACTGGGACCTGTTCATATACGTTCTTGGCAGATGATCCAGGAGTGGTTTGCCATTGCCTTCTTCTGTGTGTGAATAGAGTAATTGTTGGGATGCCACGGAGGAAAACTCCGCGTTGCCTAGACCACGGCCTTGCCCAACACAAGTTATAAATTCGAACCCGAGACCCCAGGATTACAAGGCCAGCGTTCTAACCGCTAGACCACCGTGGCTAGTATGCATATATTTGATCATATTACTGTAAATTCAGTACTAAAATGCTGTGTATTAAGAATTATGAAGGACTGGCGGTAAGATTTGTTATGTTACGTCATCGAACTTACCAGAACCACCTGGAATGTGACGACGCACATGATGAGCTGACTGCAGAAGAAATAGAAGAGTAGAAGTGGACTTAGGACCTCGTTGAGTTCCTTAGCGAATCTGCAGAAGAGGAGGACGATTTAGTGGCAACTCAAAATGGATCTGTCGAGAGACTTGAACAGTGCGGTGTCACAGAAATGCCCTCAGAATTAATTGAGGTTAGGTTTGCAGGCCAAAGCTGATGATAGAGGCGAAAGTGACACGAAGCGAGGCGTCTTTAAACCCCGAGACGTACCTGATGATTGCCTGGTGATGCTTGATGCACTCTATGAAATGCGCATTTAATTCGACGCCACTCGGGAGACGCCTGTCCTCGAGGCCCATGTCCTGCGCGGGGAACAGCTTGTCCATGTCTCGGAGCGACATCGCGAGGCCCCTGAACTGCGTGGCCGTGTGAATGATGAAAGTCATGAAGACGGTATTCATCGAGGTGTAGTACAGACACGCCATCAGGAAACATATCGTCTGGATCGTGTAGACGATTTCGTACGTCGGAGAGCGCGTTGCGTCGAACGGTAGCCAAATTATGAAACAGAAGTAAGGCGACGGCTTGTCTGCGTTCCGGTGTTCCTCGTCAGGTTCGTGACTGTACTTCTGGATTATCGGCATTGCAATCCAAGAGATCAGCATCCCGTGGACGATAACGAACATCGTCCACGTCAGCGCCCTGGTCTTCCGAGCAGTTTTTGCGACCATGATTGATTGATCTTCCCCGGAGGCCAGAGTCAACATCTGGGGCGTGAGTTTCATCTGTAGTGTGTCGACGAGGCGGAGGATTTTTCGACTGTTTGTGACTGCGTAGGCTGCCTGGATGTAGCACATGAAGACGCCGACCATGGTAAAGGCGTTGTCTGTGATGGCATCCAGGTCTCCCCAGAATTTGTACAAGGCGAGACACTGAGCTGTAAACACCATCAAATACAGAACCAACATGAGGGAGGGATAGGCGTGGTAGAACCGGAGTTTCCAAGAGCTGGAAGCGATGTTTGGGGTGGGGAGGACTCCTGCCAGTGAGAGCAATGTCAGATTCAGTCCCATCAGATCCCAGTTCTTGTCGTCTGCTCGCATGTAAGTCCGTTGAGGCGTGGTTTCGCATTCCGCGTCTCGACCTAACGCGGTGGACGTCCCAGCCATGTGGTCGTGTGACGTCTAGAAGATATTCCCTCCAGAAATGATGTCACTTCTGGAATCAAAGAACTTATAAAATATTTCGTTCGACTTAAGTGAACATTTTTAAGTTCCTGATCTGGGATGTAAGACTTGAGTAACCGAATGAGGTCGTTACGCGAAAAATAGGACTTCACAGCTGATAATTATTCAACCGCAGAACAAACTTTGTTTCGCCGTCATTTTAAATGTCGACGTTGGATCTCCCCCCCCCCCCCACCTCACCCCATTTTAACGTAGGATCCTACATGTCTCGCCCACCCAATCTTTGAATGAATTAACCACTCTGTCGATTGTATATAACCAAAAACTATTATTAACACTGAACAGTAATATATTATAGACCATGAGCGTTTCGGCCCCCAAACGGTCATCTTCAGTGGCCAGTCTGTAGGTTACGTACAATGTTAAACATCAACGTAATTCTACTAAAATTACGGAAAATACTATTTCTAACACTCGAACGATATTTAGCGTGGAATGTAGCCTATCTTTTGAAGTTCCTCGTTGTGTATTTTTCTTATACTCCTATTACTTAATCCCGTCTCTCACAAACTGCCATATTTTCTACCTAAAATCAGAGTTATGAAATACTTCGCTTTTGTTAGTTAGTGTGCTGATCTTCTCTTATCCTTTAGCGTCTCGTCTTCAAGTTTAACCAACCAACTAAATAAACAAAATGTCTGCCTTTTATAAGTCAGGTCGGCTCTGCCTCGAGTCGAGTAATCTGTGGAAAATTTAATGAGCTCACTTTGATAGACTTAAAAATAAATGAAGTAATCACATCGCTTTGTGTTCATAAATTTATAAGATTCTCGTCAAATCTTCCCAAATGAGTGTCGATAAGTGATATAAATCATTTATATACAGTGGGGGGGGGGGGCTCCGGTGTTATCAAAACCAGAGGAGCAAATTTAACACGTGACTGGGGGGAATCTGTCACCAGGATCTTACATTCGATTGTCATCACAAATACGAGACCCAGTCTAGTGAAGGCTGCTATATATTTATTTAGAAAAAATCCTCAAATTTGTGGACTGTAACCCAAAAATTGGACTTGAGAAATTACGCCCTGTTTGTCTCTCTGCGTTGTCTTGTTCTCTATATACAGAAGCCTTGACATGGGCTGATCCCCCCGTTCAGGGAGTCTTGCTGAATGACAAACCATAAGGCCCCAATCCACGTAAATTACGCTCACGAGCGTCAATTGTAATTAGGCACGTGTACTCGGTATTGCTAATGTCACCTGCAGGTACTTGAAACAGCTGAGGACTTCTCGCCGGTTTGATGGCATAATTTCCGCGAACTGAGAGACTATAGACGCCACAACCGGCTTCAAAGAGAATTCGATATGAAGGACAAGGAAATCAAACCCCTGCACATTATCCACGACCATCACTGAAGTATGAATAAAGAACGTTGCTTCAAAGCAGTGCAATGTTTTATTCTCAGTTATATGATTACAACGTAATTACACCATTTTACGTATCATAACTTTGCTACCACTTTTGAGTTCTTCTAACCCACTTTCCTTCCTTAAAAATAAGCTTATCCGATCATCATATTGCCCTCTCAGTTTGAAGCAAATGCTCCATTTTGATTAAACTTGATATGAACGTTTTGCTATACGACGTCATCCTAACCTCAAACATTTATATTAAAATTATCCTCGAAAGACAGAAGAAAAATCACGCACGGTCACAATCAACAAAGCAAACACAAAGTTTATGCTTCAAGGGATTTCCTGTTTTAAACCACTTTGATCTCCATTGTTGCAACAATGTTTTCCAGCATCGACAGCAACAACTGAAAAGCAGGGTGTTTTCCTTTAAAAAAAATGCAAGTTTACGAAATTGTACCTCCTCTGGCCGGCATTTGAACATAATCTTTGATCTGGTTCGGACGTCACATTGAGCTGAAGCGGAGACTGTCTCTCAGACGTTTGCTTCATGTTCTCGTTTAATGCCTTGGAGATCTGATTTCCTCTAGTAGCGCTGTATGTTGGTAAGAACTACGTACAACAATTAGTTTAATCCAAACAGTTTATCGGAAAGTTGTGAAGATTATTTAACATTCTATCTATCTGTCCTGTCGCTGACACAACTTTGAAGCGTGATGAAATGTCTCGTTTGGTGTGCTCCCACCTCTCAGACTGCCCGTGGGGAGGAAATCCCTTCCTGAATCCTTTCTCCGGTAGCTAAACCTTGCCTTCGTTAAAAAGCATCAATTCCTTTACGATTTTTTTAACAACACTAACAGCGGAAATATGTGAAACTCTGTGGCTTTTGGCATGTTGTAAAACGGAACAGAACACGAGGATATTCTTTGGCGTCCTTCCTCAACGCAATCATATATGTAAGACTTGAGGTTCTCACAGCGGTGAGTATGAAGATTTCTGTCTTCTGGGTTCTTGCGCTGTGTAGTCTGGTCGATGTTATTCATCGCCCTGATGACGTAGTATGACCTCTGAAACGTTTTTAAACATCGACCAGACTACACAACGCAACAACTCAAAACACATAAATCTTCACAGTCATATATGTCTGTTCTTTATTCGTTTGGAGGTCATTAGTTTTCGCCCATTTCTATTATTTCGTTTAATGCAGTCTGCAAGTCCTGTGATGTCATTGTCGGCGTACATTGTCCATGTTTGTATTCCCATTTTAACGTAGGATCCTACATGTCTCGCCCACCCAATCTTTGAATGAATTAACCACTCTGTCGATTGTATATAACCAAAAACTATTATTAACACTGAACAGTAATATATTATAGACCATGAGCGTTTCGGCCCCCAAACGGTCATCTTCAGTGGCCAGTCTGTAGGTTACGTACAATGTTAAACATCAACGTAATTCTACTAAAATTACGGAAAATACTATTTCTAACACTCGAACGATATTTAGCGTGGAATGTAGCCTATCTTTTGAAGTTCCTCGTTGTGTATTTTTCTTATACTCCTATTACTTAATCCCGTCTCTCACAAACTGCCATATTTTCTACCTAAAATCAGAGTTATGAAATACTTCGCTTTTGTTAGTTAGTGTGCTGATCTTCTCTTATCCTTTAGCGTCTCGTCTTCAAGTTTAACCAACCAACTAAATAAACAAAATGTCTGCCTTTTATAAGTCAGGTCGGCTCTGCCTCGAGTCGAGTAATCTGTGGAAAATTTAATGAGCTCACTTTGATAGACTTAAAAATAAATGAAGTAATCACATCGCTTTGTGTTCATAAATTTATAAGATTCTCGTCAAATCTTCCCAAATGAGTGTCGATAAGTGATATAAATCATTTATATACAGTGGGGGGGGGGCTCCGGTGTTATCAAAACCAGAGGAGCAAATTTAACACGTGACTGGGGGGAATCTGTCACCAGGATCTTACATTCGATTGTCATCACAAATACGAGACCCAGTCTAGTGAAGGCTGCTATATATTTATTTAGAAAAAATCCTCAAATTTGTGGACTGTAACCCAAAAATTGGACTTGAGAAATTACGCCCTGTTTGTCTCTCTGCGTTGTCTTGTTCTCTATATACAGAAGCCTAGACATGGGCTGATCCCCCCGTTCAGGGAGTCTTGCTGAATGACAAACCATAAGGCCCCAATCCACGTAAATTACGCTCACGAGCGTCAATTGTAATTAGGCACGTGTACTCGGTATTGCTAATGTCACCTGCAGGTACTTGAAACAGCTGAGGACTTCTCGCCGGTTTGATGGCATAATTTCCGCGAACTGAGAGACTATAGACGCCACAACCGGCTTCAAAGAGAATTCGATATGAAGGACAAGGAAATCAAACCCCTGCACATTATCCACGACCATCACTGAAGTATGAATAAAGAACGTTGCTTCAAAGCAGTGCAATGTTTTATTCTCAGTTATATGATTACAACGTAATTACACCATTTTACGTATCATAACTTTGCTACCACTTTTGAGTTCTTCTAACCCACTTTCCTTCCTTAAAAATAAGCTTATCCGATCATCATATTGCCCTCTCAGTTTGAAGCAAATGCTCCATTTTGATTAAACTTGATATGAACGTTTTGCTATACGACGTCATCCTAACCTCAAACATTTATATTAAAATTATCCTCGAAAGACAGAAGAAAAATCACGCACGGTCACAATCAACAAAGCAAACACAAAGTTTATGCTTCAAGGGATTTCCTGTTTTAAACCACTTTGATCTCCATTGTTGCAACAATGTTTTCCAGCATCGACAGCAACAACTGAAAAGCAGGGTGTTTTCCTTTAAAAAAAATGCAAGTTTACGAAATTGTACCTCCTCTGGCCGGCATTTGAACATAATCTTTGATCTGGTTCGGACGTCACATTGAGCTGAAGCGGAGACTGTCTCTCAGACGTTTGCTTCATGTTCTCGTTTAATGCCTTGGAGATCTGATTTCCTCTAGTAGCGCTGTATGTTGGTAAGAACTACGTACAACAATTAGTTTAATCCAAACAGTTTATCGGAAAGTTGTGAAGATTATTTAACATTCTATCTATCTGTCCTGTCGCTGACACAACTTTGAAGCGTGATGAAATGTCTCGTTTGGTGTGCTCCCACCTCTCAGACTGCCCGTGGGGAGGAAATCCCTTCCTGAATCCTTTCTCCGGTAGCTAAACCTTGCCTTCGTTAAAAAGCATCAATTCCTTTACGATTTTTTTAACAACACTAACAGCGGAAATATGTGAAACTCTGTGGCTTTTGGCATGTTGTAAAACGGAACAGAACACGAGGATATTCTTTGGCGTCCTTCCTCAACGCAATCATATATGTAAGATTTGAGGTTTAACACAGCGGTGAGTATGAAGATTTCTGTCTTCTGGGTTCTTGCGCTGTGTAGTCTGGTCGATGTTATTCATCGCCCTGATGACGTAGTATGACCTCTGAAACGTTTTTAAACATCGACCAGACTACACAACGCAACAACTCAAAACACATAAATCTTCACAGTCATATATGTCTGTTCTTTATTCGTTTGGAGGTCATTAGTTTCCGCCCATTTCTATTATTTCGTTTAATGCAGTCTGCAAGTCCTGTGATGTCATTGTCGGCGTACATTGTCCATGTTTGTATTTCCCTCCTGGGTTCCATTAAGTGTTGCGACGTTGGCAATCATGGTTCATAGACGCCTGAAAGTATCGTGATTGGTTCAACTCGTCAGTTACATGTAGCAACAAGTACATCTTAAATTCACAACGCAGCTGGAATATACTTCCAAGGTAAAACAATAGCTGTATTTATTACATTCGGTATGAAATTGGCGTGTTTAGAACTTGTCTTACCATGACCACTTTTATTTTTATGTTGAAAATAGAAGTTAATCGAGTGCATCCATTTCCAGAACAAATTATAAACCTATCAATTTTGTTGGGGTTATTGCATTTTCCACCTTCTGACATGCTCTGTATTTTTGGAGAAGCGGCTGTAATTTGCATGTCTGCAAACACAGCACCACCACCACCCACAATGGATTGAAGTAGGTAAATAAAGTGTTTTCCTCTTGTGGTGGCATTTTTCTGTACACAGTACTTTTAGGAACGCAAAACTGTCAGACATAACCCCAAAATACACTCATCTTTTTTATACAAAGAAGCCTAAGATAGGTATAGAAGCGTCCTGTAGACCCTAGAAAACAGTATTTGAAACAAGTCGGAGAATATTACGTCATATACAGTTACAGAATATTTACTAGATACGAAATACAGTAATTGAATTTATAGTCACATTTTTATCAGTTGCATATCAGTTACATTATACTTAGAGATAGCTACAGTTTCGCTGCACTCAAAAATGTTTGAGTAATTTTATTATCTGTATATTAGAATATTATGTTAGGGAATTTCCATATATATAAATACATGTTCTTAACAATCTTTATTTCCATTTCATATTATCCTCCTGTTCACGTGCACTTTCTTATGTCTGGTGATCTATCCTCTGAACCCCTAGGGGCCCTTAGAAGGGTTGCTTCCTGTAACCTGTCCTGCATGTCCTTCCTCTGCCCCCCTTCTGACCAGGCTGTATATGCCCCTCTCCCTGCAGTTTGCTCCACTGCCCTCACTCGATCTTCACCTTATTCCGCACTGGTCCGATCAGGGTTCTACCTTGACTGACTGGTGCTTGTATCTCAACTGATTCCTTGCTTGTGATGGATGCAGCAAGGACCTCTGAAATGCTGGTAAACTTCTACCAGATTACACGGTGCAACAAACCAGAATACAGCCATCTTCAGACTCACCGCCATGAAAACCTCAAATCCTACAATTATATATGCAATAAAAATTACAGAATATGGTATTTTACTGTGTGGCTGGTTCTGTTAATATTTACACTGGCTCTGACAAAAACTTTCGACTGTAGGCTGACTGTCTGTGTGAAATAATGAGGAAATTTTGGAAATGTGCTCAGTGTGATAGAGTTTTCAGTCATGGCCTCATGGAATTTCAATATATTAAACGAATACCAGCTTCAGCCTAGAGACAGCTGCCGTTTTTATTCTGTATTTTCTGTTATATATTAAATTATTCATTTTGTATGTATCTGTTGCCAGTTTTTATTCATCACTGAGGAGGGTTTCTCCCGTTATTGTGGGGAAATTTAACAAGTGCTTAGCTTTGTATTTTCAGTCATGCTTAATTACTGAGCTACAGAAACCCATCTTCATCAGGATTGAAACCCAAGACAGATTTTTATGGTTGTTTTCTTTGCTCTTCCCTGCAGAAACAAACAACTTTGTTCTTAGTCACATTCTTCTATCATGTTTGGTTTCCAGGGTACACAAACCATTCTCACATGAACATGAGTCCAGTTGAGTTTTTTTGTGGTTGTGGCCTTTGTTCAAGTGATATCCTAACAAAAATAAATATTTTTCGTCTTGGTGTTGTTCAGGTCGCTTACTTCTGAGACTTTGAAACAAAACTTGTATTGGTAATATCATATATAGAAGCTGTCAATTTATAATCCAACGAAGTCATGCAATTTATGCCGTATGTTGGCATGCCAGATATGTGCAGAAATTATCATATTACACGTTATTTCAATGATGGTATTTTATTTTATTCATGAGAAGAAGTTATAGCTTCAGTCTTGTATGTGTTAAACATAACCTCAAAGATTGTCACCATGCATTGCAGTTTGTGACTTAAGTTCAGTATTTGATCAAGAATCTGCAGTTATATTTGTGATGTATCTCCAGTGGTCATGGATGATATTAAAATTGTTCTGAGAGAAATAGTTTCAGAGTTTTTGAACTGGTCCATTGGCATAATTTGCTTAGCAATGTTGAAATATTCTATTCTGTTACTAGACAAATGGCAGAATATTCTGATTATGTGATAACAGCAGTAATACCAAGGTGATAAAAAGGAACAGTTTAAAGTTTCAAAATGCTTCGTACTACGATGCGTATATTGGCAATTTGCAGACGTAATATGTTTTAAACTTTATTTATTATCCCTGGCTGCAGTTAGAATATTAAAATTCTAGATTTTCCCATCTAAGGTTTGTCAAAGGTTGGAATTTGAGTGGATGTGTAATAAAAGAATGTTATTGTTGTTTTAAAATTTTTATAAAAATTATGTAGTAGCACTGAGAGTCTTACAGAACAATGCAAGGTAAACAAATGTATTAATATTTTCTCTCAAATAGAACAGTGCTGAAACATACTGATACGAGAAAATGGAAAAGAAACGCAGTGTTTTACGCTCAAACGACCAGCCGGAAACTAGAGCCAGGAGGGGACGCAGCTCGTCACGTCAGCTGGCATCTCAGGTCGTTCAAGATAGATCACTACCCGCTGAACGAAGCCTTCAGAGTGAGTTAATTCTTGGGGAATATGTAACAGGTCTTAAAATATGAGAATTACAGATACCATTAGTTTTTGGCTGTTAAAGGGTGTAATGAAACATTCAGTGATGATGTAAGAAGCCTGGTACAATTTAGCAGTAAAAATAGTTTAGTGTATACAAAATTCTACAATATTTCTCACATTTATGTGTGTTCTTCGCGCAGAGTGCATATGTTAAAAGCACGTGACAAGATTTTGTGTGCTTTTCTGCATATTTCATCTCCAAAATTGGGATATTTTTTTGTAGAAGTTTACCTCAAACTTCTACCAGACTATGTGACACAAAAACCCAGAAGACAAGTCATCTTCAGACTCGCTGTTGTGAAAACCTCAAATCTTACATAATTTTTTTTGTGTTTAGGGGTTTGGGTCAGTGTTTACTGAGACTGCGTCTCGTCTTGATAGTGAATTTATGGTAGCTGCCTGAATATTGAGCCGTGACATCTTGTTGAAGTTGAATGTATCTTGGATTGCATAAGAAATAAAATACTACATTTATATGAATGTATGCTACACATTCTCTTTCTTATTTTATTCTGAAATTAAAAAATTAAATCCGTGGCGTAACAGCTCCAGAGAGTCTAAGCCGACTAGCTTGACTGCTGGCCTCACGTTCACATGTCTAAGCAGAGGTGAACGATCATCCAAACAGATACAGCGTGACGTGTGTTCAGCACGACGAACCCCCAGCCATTGCTAGCTTTCCTGACCGGATTACGCTACTCATTGTAGCTCCCCAATTTCCTCACGGTGCTGGGTTGGCACCGGTCCCATACACTGGTCGAAAGCTCATGAGAAAATTTCTTCTCTCCCGAGACTCGAACCAGCGCGCATTCCGTATCACCAGTTTGAAGCACGATGCCTCAGACCGCGCGGCTACGGTGCGGGACTTTATTCTGAAATTACATTGCAGAATATTTCTTTTAATGTTGATGTAACTGGTTTTTATCGCACTTGATTAGATGGCGTCCTGTTGTGGCTTTAGACTCAGAGAAGCAACACAAATATTTCAATTTTAATAAATGTAGAAACATTTGTTTCACAGAAGAATGGATGGCCGAGACTGCATGAAATAATAAGACGTGAAATTACATTAGAAGGTCACGTCACTGTTGATGTTTCAGCGGTGGAGCAAATCCTTGTCCTTGAATGGGAACTAGTTGAGGGGTTTTAGGGATGAAAACTTTAAGCAGCTTAGCTTTAGCAGTAGCTGTTTACAGCGGGCACACTACGAAATGATGCGCGCGACATTCCGGGCCCAAATATAATCCTGTCGGGTAACGGTAACATCCAGAAGGCAGCAGAACTGCTGAAAGGTCTGTGCAGACAATTAAAGGATCACTATGTAAACTAATATTCCAGGATGATGAAATTAGTGATTACCACTTAAAATGGCCTTATTTCAATCAATCTGTCAGTATAGACTTACCCCCACATCTGTAACTCGGATTGCCTCGGCCGAAATAATTCTCAGGCGTGTAAATGTTTTGAGATATGGGAATGCATCCTTGTACGGAATCATAAAAAGATAGACGCCGGGCGACTGGCGTAGTTGTACGAAGTTGTGGTCCGTAAGGTATTTAGTGCAGTTGGACTTGTGGGTGGTCCACGCTGATCAGTTAAGAAAGACATTTTTAAACCATCTGACGGATGTAGGAAAAAGGAATGGGAGTGGTGAAAGAACCACAAGTCATACATTGGATTTAGTTGTTAATTTATTTGTTTATTAATTAGTATTAAAAATATATTAAAATTGGCCATATGTAAATCGAGCACTCGATACGGAACGAAAAATGATATTTTAATCTTTTAATTATCTTATATTGTGATTGACGGCCAATTTTAATATATTTTTAATACTATTTAAATAAATCACAATATGACGCACCTACAATATCTTGTTTATTAATTGTATGATTAAATATATGTATTTCTTAACCTTTATACTGTGCAGTTGATAAGAGTATGGTTCGTCATTTGGATTCCGTGGCAGCGACTCCAGAACACTTGAGGCCACAGCGTGTGTTGCATGACGATACTGCAGTGTCAAGCGTTACCATGACACCCGGATGGACAAAGTACTTGGATGGAACTTTTCGTCTGACGCGGCTCTCGGCAGCTAAGAGAAGGTATCAGTTCTGAGTAGACGATGCACGTGCGAAGTAAAGAAAAGACATCACTACTCCATAATTTATTTATTATTTTTTAATGCATTAGCCTTATATGTTATTTTTTGGATTGTACTGTCTGTAAATGATTGTAATTTAATGACAGTTCTTTGTTGATGTCAAGAAAGTCATGCAAAAGGCTCTTTGATTTTTAAATTGTATTTCTTTTTTGTGGTAGTCGGATTTCAGGAAGTGACGATAATTCTCTTACTGAACAAATCAGAAGCTTAGAAGATGTGTCGAAGTCACCAGAGAAACAACCGAAATTTGAGCATCGACGTAAGAATGTGTTACCGAAGGGTGTTGGTGTTGAACTGTTTGGGGTGAGTTGAGTTGTAAATGATTCTTGTGACTTGAAGCTTGCGATTGTGTTTCTGTGTGTATGGGTATGCATAATGGTAGGAGGAGGTGGTAGAAAGATTATACCGTTGGGTAGATAGGTGGATACATTTTGGTAGGTACAGTAGTGAATAATTTTTATATAAAAGTATAGTGCAGAATTCTCGCATCCTGTGTTTGAATTATTTTTCATTGCAGAAGTGTACTCACAGTTACAATTCACTTCTGAGTTGTTCTGTAGCTGATGACAAAGAAAATGATGGACACAGGGGCGATGTAGTACCGATGTGTCAAGACATACGAGGTGCGATCGGAAAGTATCAAGGCTGTGTCAATAGCGGGCGAACCGGATGTAGTACGAGCTTCTGCCTTTAGGGGGTGCGGCCAACATTCATAGTGAATCAGTGTGCCAGCCGGCATTATCGAATTAGCATTTGTTTCTTAGTTACGGGCGTTTTGGTAGTGCATTACACCGACCCTCCTGCGATTTCGGAATGGCGTGTGCATCAAATTTTGCCAAAGACTCGCCAAAACGGCTACAGAAACCTATGAAATGCTAAAGCAAGCATTTGGGGAGTCCGCAAACTTTTGTGTGGCATTCACGTTTTAAAAAGGGCCGGCCGAACCTCTGTCGATGATGACGAGAGTTCTGGACGACCATCTTCGAGCACAACGCCCGAAAAAGTTACGAAGATCGACGTCGTACCATCAACGACTTGTGCGACATTGTTGGGACCTGTCAGCTGATTCTAAAGGAAGAACTCCACATGCGACGCATCAAGACAACGCGCCAGCGCACACCGCCCTCAAAGTTCGGCAGTTTTTGGCCTCAAACACCATGGCCGTCATCCCGCACCCTCCTTATTCACCGGATTTAGCTCCGTGTGACTTCTTCCTCTTCCCAAAGATGAAAATTCAGCTAAAGGGAAGGAGATTTGAGACGATAGAAGAGATTCAGGCAGAATCGCAGATGGTGCTTGATCTATGTTCAAATTCAAAAATGTTCCTGGCATTTTTAATTAACATGAACTAATTATAGAAATTCTCATTTTCGTGAGTACATGACATTTTTATTGGCAAGAAAGTGGGGCATTAAGATTTTTTAAGAGGTCTAAACCCCCGTTACTGTCAGCTTTCAGCGAGCTTGTATTTCGTGTTATATAAATGCGGGTTCTAATGAGAGATTTTTCCGTAACACAGGCAGCATTTGACAGCCCAAAGGCAAAGAGTTCCGCTGTCCCCCCAGTACAACCAGAAAGAATCAGTGATCTTTCTGTTGACAATTTTGAAGACATTAGCCCCATAGTAACTCGGCCATTCAGGAAGAGAAGGCGTGTGATTGCAGATCTATCTGTTTTTAAGGATGTTTTCAAAGATTCTGCATCGTTTTCGTCTTCTTCTGTAACAGACGTGCCAGACAGGTAATTTTATAACCTATTTGATTTTAAATTCCTGTAGATGTCGTTATTAACCCTTACTGTATGGTCGGCTAACATTTTATCTGGAGCTAGTTTGTGTTATCAGAATTGTGTGTGATGAAGACTGAGGACTCGCGATCTGCGATGAATCTGTGTTATGTGGACGAGCTGGTTTCATGCCTCAGAATCATTTTCAAAGATGCGGACACAGTAGTTCTTGCAGTTGGGGCTCTCTGTCAAACAGTGCTTTTGATGCATTGTTATCGTCACTGACTGTACTTACAGTTTGAATATTTACACAGGCATGGAGTTAAATGTTGGTGAATTAACTCCAGATGAAAGAGCACAGAAGAGATTATCTTGGACAACAGAAGAGAAAGATTGGACTTTGGCCTTTAACATATTTTTCACATCTGTTCACTCGATGGATATATATAAAATTTTGTAGCAGTAGTCAGAATATTTTAGTTGCTTCCAAATGTGTCTCATCAGTATGTGAATACGGTGGATTCCGGTTAATTGGGACGCATCGGGACGAGAACACTTTGGCCCAATTATGCGAAATTCCACGTAAAGAGTTAAAAAGGTTTGTTCTTTCAGATTTGTTCCAAATAAACGGCTGCCCCGATTAACGGATGACCCATTTAACCGGAATCTACTGTATTACAATGCCGGTGTATAGTATCGAAGGAATGTAAGCCTTTGGATCTAAGTGGATGGAAGAGTTCCCTCGGCAGATTACGCCATGTAATAACTTGAAACAGCCGGTTGGATTGTTATTACCTTTGTTGAGGCTAATCCAAAATTATACATTTTACTTTCTTATGGATGGTAATACCAACATGATGGATGTGCAAAGTTGTGAAGTGGGATGATGGTGGTGACGATAACATTACCAATGATTGTGCACGCTTGACAACATTATAGCCTCTGATAACGTAATTAATCTTGATGTTAAAATGTGTGTGCTTATGATGTGGCATAATGAACACCTTTGGAATTTAAGTTTTAGTTTTATTGATGGATTTAATTAGTAGGCTACGTGAATGCAGTTAATTGTTCTGTAAATAACCATTTCAAGTATTACAACCACCATTAAAAACTATTTTCTGTATGTGAATCAAGAGTTGTGAACTTGTTTATACGCGTTTTAAAATATTACAGGCTTGAAGAACGAAGGAGAAGGAGTGCACACTTGTCAGCCTCGCCACTTAAGAACAACAAACCAGGAAATCAACATATTGTCACATCAGAACAAAACTCAGGCACCAAAACACAGGCTGGAATTAACACTCCATCCATTACAAAAAAATTTAAAAAAGGACAGACTGGGTTGGAAAGTTTGTCAGTCACATCGTCTGAGAATAAGGAGTCAGGAGATGAATCAAGACAGAAGAGTGCAAATCTGTCAGTCACAGCGCCTGAGAATGAGTCAGGAGACGAATCAAGACAAATGAGTGCACGTCTGTCATTTATCTCATCTGAGAAAAGGAGATCAAGAAATAAATCAAGACAGAAGAGTGCAATTATCTCGGTCACAGCACCTGAGAATAAGGAGTCAGGAGATGAATCAAGACAGAAGAGTGCAAATCTGTCAGTCACAGCGCCTGAGAATGAGTCAGGAGACGAATCAAGACAAATGAGTGCACGTCTGTCATTTATCTCATCTGAGAAAAGGAGATCAAGAAATAAATCAAGACAGAAGAGTGCAATTATCTCGGTCACAGCACCTGAGAATAAGGAGTCAGGAGATGAATCAAGACAGAAGAGTGCAAATCTGTCAGTCACAGCGCCTGAGAATGAGTCAGGAGACGAATCAAGACAAATGAGTGCACGTCTGTCATTTATCTCATCTGAGAAAAGGAGATCAAGAAATAAATCAAGACAGAAGAGTGCAATTATCTCGGTCACAGCACCTGAGAATAAGGAGTCAGGAGATGAATCAAGACAGAAGAGTGCAAATCTGTCAGTCACAGCGCCTGAGAATGAGTCAGGAGACGAATCAAGACAAATGAGTGCACGTCTGTCATTTATCTCATCTGAGAAAAGGAGATCAAGAAATAAATCAAGACAGAAGAGTGCAATTATCTCGGTCACAGCACCTGAGAATAAGGAGTCAGGAGATGAATCAAGACAGAAGAGTGCAAATCTGTCAGTCACAGCGCCTGAGAATGAGTCAGGAGACGAATCAAGACAAATGAGTGCACGTCTGTCATTTATCTCATCTGAGAAAAGGAGATCAAGAAATAAATCAAGACAGAAGAGTGCAATTATCTCGGTCACAGCACCTGAGAATAAGGAGTCAGGAGATGAATCAAGACAGAAGAGTGCAAATCTGTCAGTCACAGCGCCTGAGAATGAGTCAGGAGACGAATCAAGACAAATGAGTGCACGTCTGTCATTTATCTCATCTGAGAAAAGGAGATCAAGAAATAAATCAAGACAGAAGAGTGCAATTATCTCGGTCACAGCACCTGAGAATAAGGAGTCAGGAGATGAATCAAGACAGAAGAGTGCAAATCTGTCATTTATTTCACCTGAGAAAAGGAGATCAAGAAATAAATCAAGACAGAAGAGTGCAATTATCTCAGTCACAGCACCTGATAATAAGGAGTCAGGAGATGAATTAAGACAGAAGAGTGCAAATCTGTCATTTATTTCACCTGAGAAAAGGAGATCAAGAAATAAATCAAGACAGAAGAGTGCAATTATCTCGGTCACAGCTCCTGAGAATGAGTCAGGAGACGAATCAAGACAGAAGAGTGAAAATTTGTCGGTCGTAGTAGCTGAGGATGGCAAATCAGGAGACAAATTGAGACAGAAGAGTGCACTTTTGTTAGTCACCACACATAATAGTAACAGATTGGGAAATGAACATGTTGATACAAAGGAACAACAATCAAGCCCCAAAAGAAGGGCTGATATAAACACTCCATCTGTTTCTAAAGTTTCTGGTAAAGAACAAACTGAATTGGAGTCGGCGGATGTACATCCTGGGTCCGTAAGTGATTCTAGTGAAATGGACCAGAATGGTGTGCAACAAAAGGCTACACAAGGTGGGCACAATATTTTCAGCAAAAGTGTGAAGCCACGAACTGCTCCTTGGTTTGGCCGAGAGCAGGAAAAAGTGTCAACTTCAAAGAATCTGTGCACATTTAACCTCCTCCCTAGGGAGGAACGGAGTGCCAAACTGCGTGAATTAGTATCAGGAGTGAAGAAGAAATATGATGATGCACTGAAACCAAACCTGACAAATGGATTGTTTAGCAGAGAACATCGGGAAATAAGAAATATTAAAGACAGCGTGACTGTCCGTGAAAGGACAGGTGGTAAGAAAAAAATTCACCCAGCTCTGCTAGTGGATGGCAAACGATACAGACCGCGTCTCAAACGTCCCAAATCGTGGGCGACTCCAAGGCTTTATAAACTGCTCATCCCAAAGTGTGAAGAGAAATATGGCATGCTGAAAGCTCGCTGCAAAGCAGAAGAATTTGTTATATTTCTGTGTGAAAAGGTAAGTTAATATCACAGTCATGATGCTATTATTAATTGTATGGTGCAACAGACAATTGTTCTTCAGCACATCAAAAGAAATTCTGTTTTATGACCACTGTGATAACTAGGGTTCGGATGTTCATGACGTCATATTTTTATTGGGGCTTCTATTTTGATTCTAAACTGAAATTAAACACTAACCGGGTTATTCTAATCACAATTATGCTGTTTTTATTTTGAATATAAATGTATATTTAGGTCATTTTTATGTTTTTGGTCATATTTGTAGTCAAATGCATATTTTGGTTATAAAATTCTTACTTGTAAGTACATTTCTCAGGCATTTACAGTGAATCCTTCAGTTAGTTGAGATGCCAAAAGTGAAGTATTCTGAAAGTGCGAAGCGAAGGGTTTCGTTAAAGATTTCGGCGAGGAAAAGGCAACAGTTCTGTTCTGTAAACTTTGTGAAGTTAAAGTTATAGCTGGTAAGGGATTTAATGTGCAACGGCATTGTGATACGGCAAAACATGAAAATAATTTGAGCTGACAAACCAGTCATCAAAGCAAGCAACGACTTCACCATCAAACAAAACGTCGGAATTTTCAAAGGACCTGTGTGAAATGATTGCGTCTGCCAACTGAACAAATTGAACAATAAGCAGTTCAAATTTTTCTTGGAGAAATACATGACTCAGTTAATTTCAGACGAATCAACACTACGAAAAAACTACGTGCCTGCCTCTTATGTCGTTATTGGCACGCTCCTCTGTTGCTGTAATTTCCGATAACGCCGCGAAACGTTTGTGATGTCTCAAGTTACAAGACGTTATTGTGCGACAATCTAAGATTTTCATTTGAGACCTTGAAAATGCACACCATTGTATATTGTAATGCTGCCGAGAAAGGAAAATGAAGAAATTTACGTAATGTTTTTAATTTTGTTTATTTATTTGTAATTAATGAATTTTAAATGCATGAAAGGCTCTCTCTTGAAATTTATCTTATTTTTATAGGAGCACGTATTCTCAACATCTGATGCCGATCCAAAACGAGGCATTTACAACTTCTAGCGACTGAGGTTTTCGGATTAAAATTGCTAGGGAATCAAGTAATGTAATAGTTGTACATGAATATGATTGAAATACAAAACGCTTTTTTTAAATTTTAGAAAATATTTTTTCATTACAAATTAGGTCATATTTTGCCTTTTTTGGGTCATATTTCGCTATTTTTTGGGGGCATTTTTGCAAGCATGTTTCTCGTTCGGATAACCCTAGTGATAATTTGTGCTGTCTGTATTCTGATTTCCATGTCTAACATTTTTCAGTGCAGAGTATATTTAATGAAATAGAAGGAAAATAAATCTTTAAAGAATTTATGTCGCTGAGCTGATTCATCTAGCTCTGCAGTCACAAACATTTAGTTCAGGCTCTTGTCACCACTGGCTCTCCTGATCCTTGTATCATTTGTGATTGGACCACCATTTCACTTTACGCACATTAATCATTTCTTGAAGTTTCTCCTTTCAGGTGTCGACTGTGATACGGCGAAAAAAGTATGAGAACTACGAGAGCATTTTGGAAGAGATTAAGAGGGCACTTTATAAACTTGGAATAATAAAGTGTTTGATGGAGTATTTTGTGTTCATCGAGGACTATCTCCCGTTTCAATATCGAATTAAGGCAATACCGTGCCTTAGGGGATATGGGAAGCGCACTGGACCACCACTGGCTCCAGGCACTGACTTGTTTGCTGATCTGGGTTATTAAGAGAGTTAATTACAACACATGTTTGAAGAAATTATTATATTTTGAACTGTTTTTCTCTAACTTTATAATATAAAAATATTTTATTTGTGTAATCTGTTATAATGACTAAGAAATAAAAGTTACTGTGAAGCATTATGTAAGTGTATACTTCTTGTTACCACGGTGGTCTAGCGGTTAGAAGGCTGGCCTTGTAGTCCTGGGGTCTCGGGTTCAATTCCCGGCGATGCCCGAATTTATAACTTGTGTTGGGCAAGGCCGTGGTCTAGGCAACACGGAGTTTTCCTCCGTGGCATCCCAACAATTACTCCATTCACACACAGAAGAAGGCAATGGCAAACCACTTCTGGATCATCTGCCAAGAACGTATATGAACAGGTCCCAGTCCGAGAAAAGGATGGAAGGATCCTGTTCATATGGACCTGTCGTCAGACAGAACACTAAATAAAATACTTCTTGTTATGTGGATCCATTCCAATATTTCATGCTTTTATAGCAGTTCAGTACCATTGTGGGTCATATTTCTGGTTGATGTCACCGTGTAGATTGTCCAAAGTGCCAGGTCAGTGTCAGGTTTATAGAAACATTCTTTTCTGCTTGCTATGAAATTTTCACAGGACAGGTGTCAAAATATGATGTATTTTTAAAATAATATGAACAAGGTAATTGTACCAAGTGTTGAATATCTTTGTCAGTACACAATTTAACCTTCAAAGGTCCATCGTGTCTTTCAAACCACGGCAGTATCCCTACTTTGGTCCACCATAAACCTTAATACTTGATGCATTATGTAACATGGATTTGTGACTGTCATATTAGGTTCTAATCCATAAAAACCTACTGCTCCCCCAGTATTGTGAGGGTGATTAAGTCGAGAAGAATGAGATGGGCGGGACATGTAGCGCGCATGGATGGGACAAGAGGTGTGCACCGGGAAGCCTGAGGGGAAGAGACCGCTGGGGAGACCTAGACGTAGATGGGAGGATAATCTCAGGCGGGA